TATTTTTCTCAGTGCTATAAGCAGAGTGAATATTGGACTTAGATTCATCAGTTCACCTGAAATGCAACTCCAAATGAATGCTACTGCTTGTTGCTCTGTGAAACCCCTCCACAAGATATCATAATCACTCAGAAAAAATCACAATATGAAAAATGTTCTATATTCTGTAGCTATAGACAGAACCTTAGGCCAACTGTGTCAGCAGACAAGTTTGATCCTGATTAAGTTAAGCACAGAGCTTTGCTCTATACGTGTGCATGAAAGAGGTTCACTATTAAAAACCTGATTACATAACAAGGACTGGCTAGAGGCTCCGAAAAACAAAATCTTAGGCCTCTTTTATTGCCACAGAACATGATGTCACAGAACAATTAAACATTTGGTATCTGCAGTTTAACACCAAACTAACTGATGCCACACAAGGGCTTCACAAAAACTCCAAAGAAGTGCTGCGAAGCAGTTGGCATGTCATTTCGGGACCTGGCAGGATAATAAAGACCTAATGTGTATAGTGTGTTTTTGTTTCATTTTTTTTAAGCCAAGCTACCTGTTTCCTTATTTCCACTATTTGTGCTATGCTAAGCTAGCCAGCTGCTGATTGTAGCTTCATATTTAACGTACAGACATAAGAAGTGGTACGAATCTTCTTTCTTGGCATGAAAGCGAATTTTATTTCATATTTCCTTCCCTTGTCTACTTCTGCTTCCAGCACTGATTTCCTTTGTTTCCCAGAATGCTATTTGACAGACCTTAGAGAATTTACCTCCAGTGGGGTGGAGGTGATCAATGGTAACAGCAACTTGTTCCTCGTAGCAGGTTGTGGCTTTCATTAAAAACTCCATAACTCTGTATGTCTGCCCAAATGGTCTAAAAACAGCACTCAATTCTAAGGGACTCACAAAAATCTGATAATAATACTTCAAATCCCTGGCACTTCTGCACACACAGATCAGCTGACACACTTCATTAGCATTAGCATGGTAAGCTAGTAAACAGCAGAATGGCCCCGCGCCGCTGCCGGCTGTCTACATGGGAAAGAAGTTAGTAGCTATTCCCAGCAGATGCGTTATTCATTTTCCCATGTCAAATTTTTGATTCACTCACAGCTGGCAGGGGTGAACCAGGATGAATGCATCCAAATACAACTGAGAAAGCCTTCAGATTTGACTGATTAAGTTTAACATGTCTGATGTGGTGTGAACATTGTCGTAGTTTAGCTGTTTCATGTCACAGTAATATTTTGATGAGGATTCCAGATGACTTTGTCAACAGTAGGAAGACTAACTTTAGCTCCCGGTCCCATAGCTTCTTCTTAAAATGCAGACTGAACAAGTTCTCTCCTGGGAAATAGTCGTTTGTCATTTTCCCCTTTAAACGGGTCCAGACATGGTACTCACTGACATGCTTATTAAAGCAGATGTGTATGGTTATCTGCGTGGCTGTGGAGGCTGTGATAGTAAGATTCTAAAGGCTGGATTCACGTTAGTGACAGTCTTTCCCCCAACACTTTAATTAAAAATATTTATTAGACACCGTCAGGCCGCTATAAAATCAACAATGTTCACACAAGGGGCTATACAAGTTTAAAATTCTCTTACCAACCACAGCATAAACTGCAGATTCAGTTCTGGACAGCAGTAGCCCCATCTTGGTTGTACTTGCTTCAACTACCATAACTGTTTGTATTTGTGGTAAGCATGTGAGGGATCATGGTTTTGTTGCTAAGCTTGTGACATTAACTAATTGTCTCAGGCATCTATAGTGATGGATAGTGAGTGAGGTAGTGTGAACCTCCTGTCCTTTACGTGACTTGTTGAAGCTACTCACTAGCCAGCCAATAGTCCTGTCCATAGGAATTACATCCATATTGGACAACTGCGCATGTATTCACATCCCGGGGCTAAAACGAAACAGCTAAATTTCAGGTTCTGATGTCAGTTCCTTCAGGATAAAAGAGGAGAAGTTTCTGGACAGTTAACAATATAATAAAAGAAGAAGCAGAAAGATGATTTTCTACACAAAACATGAATGACATTCAAATGTGTCAAACATTAAAAACTTTGCTTTTGTGCAATCTTCTTGAAGTACAATTAGAAGTAGATGAAACAGGCTGAGGAAAGTCAGTAAAAAGCAAATTAAAACAATACATATTAAAATACTCTTGGAATAAGCTCTGGGCATGCCATTATGTTGCCTGACATCAGACACAAATGTCAACTCGTTACACTCCATTTCCATCTTCAATCCGACATTGCCTTCACTGCCTCTAACTGATTTCCGTGCCGGAGGGGGATTCCAGGTTCCCTAACCAATCATTAGAGACCAGCATATCCACCTGAATCTAACGTTGACAGTGATGCGTAGCTATACCAACAGACAAGTAAAAACAAACTACAGCACTTGATTTTAGAACAGCTTTGGCGTCTATCTTGTCTATAGTGGTTGTCATTGTTGTTATTACCCCTCCTTGGTTCCAGCGCACAGCTTGACAATGCTTGACAACAGCTTTAGAACGGATGTTTTCCTGCTGCTATCCTGCTGTAAATGAAATTTGCATCTTGAAATCCCCGACATTTCTCTTTGTGGTGAACTGAAATAAGGTCCTCTGGCTCTCCACACAAGGCCTGCAGAGGTACTTGGCTCCACAAGATAAAACTTAAAAAACATCCACAGCACATACTGAGAGAAATCAAGGAAAAATATTTTGAGTGAAAACAAAAACTCACATGGAAGACATCGAACCACATATTCACACATGAACTTTTGAATTGACAAAGAAAGGGCAAGGCAATAAAAGATGAATGAGAGCAACCATAAAAAAACTCCCATCCTCCTAAGTGCAAGCTGTAATCACTCTCTCCTTTTCTCTCTCTATCCATCATTTCCCCATCAGACAAAGTTTTGACATTGCTGTCCACCAGCCACCCCAACACTTCACCTCACCTCCATTATCTCTCTCTTCCTTCATCACGTCCCTACACTCAAATGCTGACTCGTCCCTTTCTGCCTCCTAATCATTCATACTCTCCAGTCTTGATGCTCCACATGGGGAACTTTTAAAAACCAAACTGTTGCACGTGACCACAGTCTTGGCCAAGAAAAATTGACCATTCTGCAACTTTATTCACAACATTTAGTGAATCTATATAAAGAAAGCTTTGGTGCACACATCAGAGATGCTCACAAGTCTTTGAGCTAGAATCTCAAGTCTCTCGTGGTTATTACGAATGTTGAATGTTGTATCACCTGCTGCGTTCAATCCAGGTTGCTTATAAAACTGCATAGCTATAAGGAATTCTGTAACCTGTTTTTCATTTACAGAGCACAACCATGTAATGTGCAATGCAATTATTGACGGCTTATTAAAAACTGTAAATCAACACACTCCCCAGACTCTTAAACCCAGTGTATCATTATCTAAACAAAACTGTGACGTTGCATAATCAACAATAAACCTGTAACCTGTTTTTAACTTACAGAGCACAACCATGCAGCCTAATGTCTACAAAGACTACTTATTATTTCATTTCATTTATTTGTTTATTTGACAGGGACAGTGCTCATTAATTAACAGTGAAATAACTGTAAATGAGCCAGAGTTAGCTCAACAGGCTAATTTAATTATATAATATAATTATAAGCTTACAGGGGCGGCGCGGTGGTGCAGTGGTTAGCACTGTCTCCTCACAGCAAGAAGGTCGTGGGTTCAAACACCAGTTGCCCCGGCCTTTCTGTGTGGCGATTGCATGTTCTCCCCGTGTCTGCGTGGGTTCTCTCCGGGTGCTCCGGCTTCCTCCCACCATCCAAAGACATGCAGGCTAGGTTAATTGGTGTCTCTAAAGGTGTGGATGTGTGTGGTTGTTTGTCTATGTGTGGCCCTGCGATGGACTGGCGACCTGTCCAGGGTGTACCCCACCTTTCGCCCAATGTCAGCTGGGATAGGCTCCAGCCCCCCCGCAACCCTGTACACAGGATACGCGGTTGACGATGGATAAGCTGAAGCAAGAAGCAAGCTAACGTTAGATGGCCATTGCTGAACATCTTTACTCACCTCAGGTTACTAACCTATTTGCGTTCAGCGCTTCTTTGTTCAGGTCTTGTAAAGTTGTAACAGGTGCCACATAAGCAAGACTTTAACACCGTCCACACTGGGTTAGCATCTTGCATTTGGCGTGAAGTCTGCTACTCTCTGAATACAGTCGGTCCAGCGAGCCACAGCCACACAAGAGCACATTCACATTGTAATATTGTTGACTCTCTGCAAGGAGAAGAATAAAGGTCTGCCCAAAAAGTGGCTAGGCGCTTTTTTTTCAAAGAAAAGTCACCAAATCTAGCGAGAACGTTGCTAAGACAACACTGAATGAATTGTAATGTTGATCTGTATCTGCTGGTTGTATAAATAGATTATACTGTTTATACTAACTGTTTGATAACCAGTTGTAGCCACATTAACTTTTTATAGCGATATCAGTGTTGTGTTTAAATGTTGCTTCTGCAGCCCCCAGATGGTCAAAAATCAGTTACTGCAGGTTTACAGTTAGGGATAAATCTTTAGCTGACATAATGTTATAGTATTGCGCTTGTTTGTATACAAATAGTTAGTTAGTGTGACCTAGCCTTCTCTCTCACCTCTACACACCCTGCAAAACGCTCCATAAAGTGGCCATGCTTTTTGGCTTATGTGTTTTGGAAAGCAACAAAAATTGGCAGATGTAAATCTTATTCAATTCTAATATACAAAAGGTGTCAGGGTACGGGGTTTAAGACCCTGTTTGACCATCTGAAAATTTCAGTGAAAGCATACTGACAGCTTAGGGCATGTCTACATCCATCTATGACTAACTTTGAGAGTGCACTTTATAACCTACATAGAACAAATGGACTAAGAAGATGTGACATGTGATACAGTGTGAAAGAAGGTGATGTGAGATGGATGTGTTCTTCAAAAGATGTGTTGTGCCTCTGCTGTCCTGAATCCTTTCCCCTGCCTCTTCATACAGGACAGGACTGCGGAAATAATTCATGTGTGTCTGTCCTCCCTGGGAAAGAAAATGCTGCCGACATGTCTGGGACGAGAGGAGATGGGAGGAGAGCGACGTCTGAAAATAGAGGAGGGGATGACAGAGGCAGAGATGGATGGGTGGAGTGAAAGAGCGAGGCAGAAAAGAGCGTGTGTGGGACAGAGAGAGACTTGTCAAAACTTGGCCTCTTCGCTGCCTCGCCAACTGCTTTTAGCATTCCGCTCTTTCTCAGGGCAGTTTGTGTGGATGTGTGTGCTTGCGTGTTTAAGGACTGAACGGCCTGCTATCTCAAATCCGACACTCAACTCCTGGCAACAGTTTTAAGTCAAGAAAATTAAATTCTTGAGTAGAAATAAGCAGATAAACAGAGTTTTCCTTTACAAATATTGCATATATCGGATAGACATCTAAAACCATCTTCATAAAAAATGCAGCAAGCTCTCACCATCATTATGTCTCACGCACATACACGCTGTCAGTTCTTTTCCTCTGCTGTCTTGGACCAGTGGTGGTCTGACTAAGTGAAACAAAATAACACGCATGCTCAAATTCTGATCCAGAGCTTTAGTGATTTGTGAATGTGTGTATGTGCACTGTGTGTATATGTAGGCATGTTCTCATATTTATCCTGAGAACCACTGAACCTCTTTCTATGACTTTCAAAGGACATTTAATTTTATTATTTTTGAGTCTAACATTATGATTATGGTAAAAAAAAGAGCTACAAATGAAAATAGATTTGATTCTGAGTTGAGCTGGATTATCCTCAGGAAACCCCCTGAACCATCTCAAGAATATGTGGAACTCCTTACTTTGAACCCTTTCATTGACCCTTCTAGACCCTTCAAGGACACCAGTAAACTCTTAATGATCCAAAAAGATTTCTAATATTCTGTTTTAAGTTTCCCCTGCAATTTTCTTGAGGACTCCAGGGCACTTCTCAGGAACTTTGCAACCTCGTCAAGGACCCAAAAACTAATTGGTAACTTTACTGGGGGTGCAGCTCTTGCAGGACATATGATAACAGTGACACTTGTATTCCAAAATATGAGAATAAATATCAAATCATCATATTTGAATGAATGGTTGGTTATATGGACCTAATGGCTAAACACACAGATGCATAGGTCACATTTACATCTAGAAATGTCTCATCTTCTTTTGGCTGCTCCATCTCACTGGCAAACCGACCTGGATGGCCTTCCTGACGCAACCCTCCCCATTTATCCGGGCTTTGTACTGACAGTTAGGATTGCACTGCTCTGGCTTGTGCATCCCCACTGGCTGGGGGGTAAACTTTGGGGTTCAGTGTCCTGCCCATGGACAGAAGGAGGCTTAGGGACCAACCCTGAGACGCATTATGGCGTCTCACACAGACACTGTAGGGTACCTATTGTGTCAAATAACTACACTATTTATTTGACGTCCTGAGGTGAGAATGGACATTTTCATTATGTGCATGTTAGCATGCAGATTTTAGCATTTAGCTCAAAGCACTGTAGTGTCACAGAGCCGTTAGCATGGCTATATACTCTTTTTGAAATCACATAACTACCAATCTGCCCGGGAAGCATTAAGTGGCCAAATGTACGTGAGGTACATTCCTCTCTCTTTCCAACAATGGCGAAGCCTAGAAATCACCTCTGCTAGAAGCCATTCAAGAGCTCCTTGGGGCCCCTCTTCAGGCACCGCTGCAAGTTGCCAGAGTTCTCTGTTTGAGAACCACTGCGTTGTGATCAGGAGGTTGTTAGTTGTAATTCTATTAAAAATGTATCCCATTTTAACACAGGAATGTGAGCAATAAGCATGGTGTTTGATGTATAACAATGTGGAGCATTTACAGTTGCAACAAAACCTACCTGCCTGGTTTCCCTTTCTTCACATAGACACACGCACACACATATACGCATACACACACACAGTGAAAATGACCAGAGGGTAGCTTCTATAGGAGCATGATACTTTTACATTAGATTAAAAAGGAATAGGTTCATGTTACTGTCAAAAAATCACATGGCTCTGGTTACATGCCAGACTGTGTGTGTGTGTGTGTGTCAAATAAGAAAGGACTTTTGTCTATTTATGGTGTGGTAAGTTCATGCATCTTTGAATAAGGAATTCAACATTTTACTGACTGTACAGTTTGGAGCAGAAAACTCTGCCTGCATCCCTGCCAAAAAATCCATGAATAAATTGTGGATCTACTGAAAATTATGTTTTTGTTATAAGTTAGCTGTGGGACAATGCAAGTGAGTGCAGGCTGCAGTGTGAGACAGATGATGAAGACGTTTAAGTCACACGGTACAAAAATGGAAGGGAAAGAGAGAATGATAAAAAAAAATAACTCTGCTCTCTCTCCCATTCTGTTCCTGGCACTCCAGTCTGGGATGCTAATTCAGTAATTGATCCTGAGACGCTGTGCTGAGGTTACTCTGTGTCTGTGTGTGTCTGGGGTTACAGCCCTTCTTGTTCTGAATCAGGGATGTGGAAGAGGAGGAAGGGTCACCCCCTGGGAAAACAAAGAGGGAGAGGAGGAAATTTCAGAAAGAGAGCAGAACAGAAGTTTCTGTGACAGAATAGATGAAGGGGCAGAAGATTTAATGTGAACCTGCAGAATAGGAGGAAGGGAAGTGATTTTAAAAATGTCAAGGGTTGCGCTTCCCTGGTGGTGTAGGGTTTTAAAGATGCCGACATGAACCAGAACGACTTCGTTTCAAACCTGGGGAATTTTGTTACAAGTTGTTCTCATTTCAGTACAGGAATTAAACGACTGAAAAATACTTTAAAAAGAAGAAGAGGGAGCTTAGATACCCTGCTGATAAGTGCAGAGTTGAATGTCAACTCAACGAAGCAGAAAACTGTCCTTGGTGTGTCTTAGTGTTGTAGTCAAGACCGCCCAAACCGAGACCAAGTCAAGCCAAGACCAGAGTTTACTGAGACCGAGACAAGACCAAGACCAGTTCCCCACATTACATGACACACAATAAAAAGTGGAACGAGATCATAGGTACTTCTCAAATTGATCAGAAAGATCCACATTCCCATTAAAACACCCACATACAAACACTGAGAGCTGAAATCAACATAATCATATTTATTCAACACTCCTTTTCCATGGTTACCATCCCAAGGAGGGGTGACAGTCACGGTAACAACACATTTTTCATTAGGGTTATTGGTTGCATTTGAAGAAATAAGTTTTACTTCCAATCAAAGTTAGAATGTTAATAAATCAGACAAAGCAAAAGCAATTTATTAATATTCCCAAAGTTATGGTCTTGACTGGTCTTTAAATAAAATCCTGAGTCCTCAATATAAGAGACCGAGACAAGACCGAGTACAAATGCAGTCGAGTCCGAGACGAGACAAAGACCATCAAAAAGCAGTCTTAAGACCGGTCTTGAGACTAAAACCAGTCTCGAATACTACAACACTTGTGTGTCTCCCACTGAGTTGAGGTATAGAAATAAAAAATTATACCGAAATTACAGTAATGTTAGAGAAAATTGTTTAAAGTATCCACAGAATATCCACCACTTTTGGTCCTGGAGAACTGTGAGCGTTACTCCACATAAACAGTTCTATCCCCTGACATGTTGATTTGTCGGCTCCACAGTCGCATTAGATAAGAAATGGATATGTGGAAAGAAAAACAAGTCGGACAGAAGAGAAATAGAATGACGTATTCCAAATGAACAATGAGCAGGTCTTTCAAGGACATGTGGATGTCTCACTCTTTATATCATGTGACTCCTGACCCACTGTGAGAATTCAACACTCTATATGTAAAGGTGAGAAAACAATGACAACAGTATTTCACAGTGTAACAGATTCACACTGATCTGAAGACTGTAGCGCTGCAGGCTACTGCTTTAAGCAGAATGCAGCTGAAGGATAATGATCATAGCTTCAAAATGAACTAAATTCATTGCGGTTTGTGATTTTATTTACATGAATTTTTATATCTATTTAATACAAAACAGACCTGAGGCAGATATACTACATCATTTCACACAACACACACACACACACACACACACACACACACACACACACACACACACACACACACACACACACATATATAAAATAATACCCCTCTCACCCCTTGTGGGGTTGTATGTGTCATCCTCAAGCTCAGGTCCTCTACCAGAGGCCTGGGAGTTTGAGGGTTCTGCGCAGTATCTTAGCTGTTCCTAAGACTGCACTCTTCTGGACAGAGACCTCTGATGTTGTACCTGGAATCTGTTGTAGCCACTCTCCCAGTTTGGGGGTCACAGCCCCCAGTGCTCAGATTGCCACTGGCACCACTGTTGCTCTTCCTTTCCACATCTTTTCTAGCTCCTCTTTCAGCCCTTGGTATTTCTCAAGCTTCTCGTGTTCCTTCTTCTTGATGTTGCTGTCGCTTGGGATCGCCACAGCTATCACTGCAGCCTTCTTCTGCTGTTTGTCGATCAACACGATGTCTGGTTGGTTAGCCATCACCAGTTTGTCAGTCTGGATCTTGAAGTCCCACAGGATCTTAGCTTGGTCATTCTCAACTACCTTAGGAGGTGTCTTTCATTTTGACCTTGGGACTTCCAGCCCATACTCATGGCAGATGTTCCTGTACACTATGCCAGCTACCTGGTTATGGCGTTCCATGTACGTACTTCCTGCCTGCATCTTACACCCTGCTGTTACGTGTTGCACAGTCTGCACCTGGGGTCCTGCCTGGTGTGGTAGACCCCAGCCTCTATTGATCTTGTACTAAGTGCCTTGAGCCGCTATTATTAGTATTTCTGTGCTGTCCTTTAGTCCAGCCTTTTACAGCCACTGGTAGGATTTCTCGATATCAGCCACTTCTTCTATTTGTCTGTAGTACATGCCGTGCGGCGGATGTCCCTCCATGAAGGTTCTTCGTCTTCCTTTTCCTCACCCTTGGGTTTCTGCTGCCTGAGGTATTTACTAAGCCCTTCATCTTTGGGGGCCATCTTCCTGATGTACGCTTGGATCTTTGTTGTTTCATCCTGGACAGTGGTCTTGACACTCACTTGCCCTCAGCCTCCCTCGCTACGCTTGGTGTACAGTCTCAGGGTGCTGGATTTGGAGTGAAACCCTCCATGCATTGTGAGGAGCTTTCTTGTCTTCATGTCAGAGCCTCTATCTCCTCCTTTGGCCAGTTTATTATACCAGCGGTGTGTCTGATGACTGGCAGGGCATATTTGTTGATGGCTCGGAGAAGAGCTCTTGGATAGCTCAGTGGTTAATTCTGCTGACTTTGGTGATTGTGGGTTCGATTCCCAGTGAGGGCGGGAGTATCCAGGTGGACCCTTTGGAAAGGTCCTTAATGCTACCAGCCTACCTCTGGTATGAGTGAAACTGCAAATATAAGAGCCATATCGGCTCAGATGTCGCCCGGGTCAACAAGGTTCGCGTTAGATGCTAGGGAACCAGGGCAACCTGATGACAAATGGACTACTGGAACAAGAAATTCATGGACTAGAGCATATATATATATATATATATATATATATATATATATATATATAATATAATGATCTGAAATAAAACACATTAAGTTGACTGAATTTCACAGAGGTTGCCTGCTCATAATCAGATCCCTGCTGCTCCATCACTGTGCCAGTGAATGAACTATGAACTATGTCATGTAATCACTTCACCTACAGCTAACAGCACGCTCTTTCCGAGACCGTGAAGTCATACATTTCCAAGACAAAAGACTTGGACTTGGATTAAAGTGGTATATTTCTGAGAAAAAAGTCACACTTTTACAAGAAAAAAGCTTGAACATTATTTGAGTTTAAAGTCACAAATTTATGAGAAAAAACACAGCTAAGCTAATTTCCAGTGTTAAGAGATCCTTCCTTGTGAAGTCAAAGAGCTTAAAATATTGGGAACAACTGCATGTATTTACAAGTTACTAAGAGCTGACACATGCTTTCAAGTGGCATTGTTGCAGCCCCTCACATCTGGCTAACAGTCTAAGAGCTTCACCTCTTCTCTGATGTCAGCACTGACTCTTGACTTTAATTAATAACTGACAAAAACTTGGAAAACACAATTAGGCTGAGGGTGA